AGCCCCCCCAGCCTGCCCTACCACAAGCAGGTAGGGCAGGTAGGACAGGTGTCCTAACACCCGAGTACTTGGAGCCTCTGCTGATCTCTGCCTCCGCGAAACCTTCCCCAGGAGCTTCTTCACTGTCTACCACATCCCCCACAGCATCTGTGGCCCAGTAGTGCTGCCCCACTGCACATCCACAGCCCCGTGCCCCCGCACGCAGAGTCACTGCAGAGGTGTCCGACATGACCCGAACCAGGCAGACTGATGAGACCTTGTGGTCGCTACTGATCGTCTCTGCTGAGCACCAACTGCCTTTTGCCACCTTCCACACCAGACAAACCACAAAGGAATGACGGACCTTCGGCTGGACAGAGGGACAGGGAGCAGAACAGAGGACAATAGGGATAGAGAGCTTGGCTGACAGATGGAAAAAGAAAGAGAAGGATGGAGACCTGGCCCCAGGGTCAGAGCCCTGGACAAAGGAAGAGAAAGAGAGGACAGAGGGCCAGACAGATGGATGGAGGGCTGGACAGAGGACAGGGGAGCAGAAGAGAGAAAAAGAGGGATGTAGAGGTGGACAGAAGAATAAAGAGAGGAAAGGAGGGAAGGGGAAGCAGACAGAGGGACCGGGAGCAAAAGAGAAGGGTGGGGAAGCAGACAGAGGAACGGGGACTGCAAGAGAAGGACAGAGGGCCAGTCAGAGTGACGGGAAGAAAAGGAAGAGAGTGAGAAGGATGAAGAGCCAACCAGAAAGGTGGAGAGAAAAAAAAGAGGGAGGGGAAGTCAGACAGAGAGATGAGATAGAAGAGGGGAAAAGAGGGATAGGGAGACAAATAGATGGATGGGGAGCTGAACAGAGGGACAGAAATAGAAAGAGAAGGCTGGAGAGGGGGACAGAGGGCTGGAAAGATACAGTGAGACAGACAAGCGGCAGAGAGTGGCAGAGGGATGGGGAGCTGGACAGAGGGACAGCGGGTGGCTAGAAGGATAGGGAGGGGAAAAGGATGATGGAGAGCTGGACAGACTGATAGGGAGCTATTCCCCCCTCTCCTTTGCTGGTCCATGAATTGTGGCTTATTACTCACAAGTCCAGGAAGGACGCTGCCAACCTTCCTATGGCCGAAAGGTCTTCATCAGGCCGAGGCAGAGAACCTTTCCACTGGCATGTGGATTCTCCTGGCCGTTCCTGACGCGCGATAACTTACAGAGGTCTGAGGGCAGTAGCCTGTATTTCTTCATGGCAGCATACAGTCGTTCCCTGATGTTCTGCATGCCTAGGATGAACGCAATGCATAAACACAAAAATGCTACCACTATAGTAGCAGCCATATACAGAAGGAGCCATATGCATCAGTACCTAAAGCTCAAGGCTAGCAACCCCTCCCAGGCAACTTTCTTCTGGCAGGCTGCATGTCTGAACTCCTCTGACTTGCCTGAGAGTCTCCATTGGGACAGAATAACTTTGTCAGCCAGCGTTTGTTGATGGAGGCATGGTAAAATCCATCGCCCTACAAAAGTCTAAAGTAAAGCAAAAAACCTGAAAGCTCTGTAGAAAATCGTAAGAAATCATACGTTGTTTATAAGCACAAAAGCAGATCTAGTACACACACAAGCAAGGTAAATAACAACATGCAAACCACAAATATCGCTTCCCCCAACCTCCCTTTTGCAAGCTATGACGACATTTGGGTTGCTGTGAAAGGGAAGTTAGATTAAGTAGCCGCTAGAGATTAATCTTTCAGAAACCTTCTGTGTCCGCATTTTTGGCACAACCATGCTCTGCCCCTCATTCTGTTCAGACATGCAGAAGATCTGTTTCTTTTGCTTGGGCACCCCCCCCCCCCCCTTACTGTTAGTGCCCACTGTGCCACCTGGACAGAGGCTCCTCTGCTGTTTATTCATTTCCCTGACAGTACCTATTTTAGACGGAATTGAACAGATGGGATTGCATCTGTGCCATCAAAGCTAAAAGTCTCAAGGCCAGCTACAGCCCAGACTGCTGCTGAACTGTCTTTCTCACAGCCGGAAAATGTTTGTTCTGGCCCCAAAGTGGATGTAGGGATGATGCTACTGGCACCCACATGCCGGCGCGGGGTCGGGCCCGGGCCCGG